CCAACCTGTTTTTTATAGCGTAGGGATTCAGCGTTGTTCCACCCATGGGTGACAGCGTGATTTGGGCCATCCTTGCAGGTCGTTGTCCTTCAGTACCCCCCTCTTGTACTGCTTCATCTTGCTAGTCACTCGAAAGCCACAGCGATTGGACTCACAAGGCTCAGGTGCACTAACATTGCCCCTCTTCGTTTTTTGGTACTTCGTAAAAACCCAGACACTTTTCTCTGGAAAGTCGATAGCAATTTGTTGTATAGCAGGCACCATCCTTGGCCCTGTACTTTACCCCATAGAGGGGGCGATGACGTCTTTGAGCTGGGTGCATGTACTTGAACCCTTGGACATCAGCCAACCTGACACCCGTGTCTCTCTTTTCCCTCGTACACCACAGTAAAGCTGTTCTGTTCCGCGAAACTTCACCTGGTTTCACCCGTCTTGTTCTGGTGGACTCCCTCAGAATACCCCACCACAATGATGGTCCAAAATGGACCCACACTGGCCCGGGCTCTTCTCGGGGTAACCGTCCCTTCTCCCTCTGTCAGGGAATAACAGCAAGTGGAAAATGAGGAGAGGGGAAGAAGGAGTTCCGGCAGAGTGGGGCAGGACATGTTCAGTCCAAGATACTGTGCTCTTCCTCCTCAAGGTTGGATCTGAGGATGAAGGTTAATCCCAGCCTTCCATTCCTAGATCGCTCGTGTGGTCTCCACAATGTCTCTCACATGTTTCCGAGATTAGTATTTAGGGATCCTACCCATTCCTGGGAAGTGTTAGTCCTGCGTTAATTCCCTCTGGACTGTGAGAACAGTTGAAGGAGCTTATCGGAGGACTGGAGGGCTCCTACGGGGTTCAGTGTGGCTAGAGCGATCGTTTACAGTAGCTGTATCTTCATGTCTTGTGGTTCCTGAGTTAAGCGTTCGTTATTTAAAGGACTATTACTGATCCGCCCTGCAAACTAATGTGATCGTGTAACAAGTTAGTTTAAGCCATTTACTTGACTTAAATTTTAAATTTTGAAGTTATTCATTTTGAAGCTGCGGGGCCATTTTACAATTTATTTTGTGTCTCAACAGTCCAGCGGCAAGCTGTTTCATTATTATTAGTTCATTCGGTTTTAATTGTGGGCTGAAATTTGAACGGATAAAAACTTTGGCGGCTGGTCAATGGTAAGGGACACGTTACTCATATAATCCATGCTTCCAAGTTCACAATACTACCACATAGCTTCGAGAGGTAGTGACAGAAGGGTGTGGTATCACTACACATACATTAGGCCGCGATAGGTGGTGGGGGGCAAAATTGTACAATGGCCTTTATAGCTCAGTAACTGAGTGCCCGACGATGAGATAATCTTTCTGTATTATCAATTAATTTAAAAAAGGGGGGGGGGAAAAAAAAACAATATAATTTTTATTCGACATTTTCACCTTTTCGAATGAAGGTTCAATTTTCGCTTTTATGTTTATGATTTGATAATCACTATCGAGCCAAATCGTATTGTTTTGTGTTTGGCCATTTAAAATTACGATTGTATAAATGGAGACTATAGCTCCTCAGGATGCAAAGATGACCGAGATATGAAGAGTGAAAGTTAGGTATAAGGCCAACTAGTTAACTGGACTTTTGGCCCCCTCCTTCCCCTAATATTTTATTATATAATATAATTTTATATTATATATAAATTATAATTGATGTTTTAATTATATAATATATATATGATAAGACAAAAAGCTCTAAGAAAAACAGTAGTAAAACAAAGTAAACATTTCTGTCCCCTAATCTGTCTCAAACAACAAGTATGCCTATTGCATACTTCTTCATTTTACTCTATTCTGGCAATTACGTTATTGTATAGTCCAAATCACATAAATTATTTAACGATATTTTCGGCACTAGGTTCGTTGTAGAATCAGTGAGAAAAGGTTTGGACTGCGGTCTTCCACGCCGCCTGAAGCTGTAAGGTGGGGGAGGTGTTGACAGCAATAACAAGAGACGAATAGGCTGGGCCATCTGTAAGGCCACAGCAGTACATGTACCGAGCAGCATCCACCGACTACGAGCCACCTTTTAGCTGGGACAATGTTCACTATTGCAGCGTTTATCAAGTTCTTGTTGGAGATGTGTTGAGGGTTATTTGTAATTCAAAAATTGATCGCTGATGACGTTGTGAGCAATTTTCTTTGGGATTGTCAAATAACTGATTTAGGGGAGCCCAGCAAGATGATATTGTACATTAAACGGATAATTCTGGAGCCTCATACACGGAAGCCTCTTGCTCAGAGGATCTTATGGTTCCAAGCTTTCTTGTATTTGTTAAACGCGGCTTATCACAGGAACATATCTTCTAGAGATGTCCTCCTTTCTACAAGCATGGAGCCAAGCGTGATAATCTTTTCCAGAGCTCGTTCCTGCCAATTGGCTTACCTTGATCGTCTTTAAGCTCCCGTTTCAGCTAAGTACCAAATGGTGAAATTCAGGTTTTGTCTTCAGTTAACGGAAGAGATTCCCAATCTTTAAGGACTTCTGTTGCAATAGGCAACAGTCCCTCAATTGTCTTCATCGTCATCATTGAAGTCGATATCATCGGCATACTCACTGTCACGTGGAAGACCAATATCGGTGATAGGTGGGTTAGGCCTATTCGTTGCAGTTTCAGCCTGTACGGCAGGTCACGCAAGGCACCGCCTAAGACAAGTGTGAAACAAGCATCCAGACAAGACAGTAACTTGGAAAGTCACGAGAAAACTCTGGAATTCAGCAGACAGTGTACCGTTGATGTTGTCTTTGAGCTTGGTGTTGGTAAGCAAAGTCTTACCAAACGGACTTCGGTCATCATCACAGCCACTCTCATCAAGTAGGATTAGAGGATGGTAGGTCGTCGTATAGTGTCAAAGGCACTAGGGACATGCTCGCTCCCCATACGACTGGTTTCCCACCTCTTCCTCTGGACAATGATATTATCATTCACACGCTAGGCACCTTTCATATGTCAGCCACATGATCTACCCTGCTTGTAAGCACTTTGCCATGGACCAGTGAGGCATTGACTTTATTCTCTAGTCGCTTCAAGGTTGACATTGAAAGAATCTTTTAACAGATTTGAGAGAGTGAGGGGTCGTGAGACTTCCACTAGGACCATGGGCTTATTTGGCTTCTGTAAGGGGGTAATGTTTTGCCTGTCAATGGGGTCAAGGTGGAATTGGTCTCGAGCTTATATTGATAAATGTCTGCAAATCGTCTGTGTACTGATCAGTAGAATACTTGAGTAGCTCATGAGGAATACATCTGGGCCGTTAGATCGACTTTTTTTTGAGACTTCTAGCAGCTGATCGATTTCTTCACTAGTGTTGGATTATCTAGTGGGCGAGGAGGTTCTACAAAAGGTTCTTAAAGGTGCTTCATCACGAGTATGTTGTTGCTCAAGGTACTTAGCAACTACGGCAGGCTTTGACAGTGTCTGTTGCAATTTTGCACCTTGCTCATCATGAACACAATACTCAGAAGGGGCTTTACTTTTAGGTACGTTCAGGGTTCGTTCAGCTTCATAAACTTTTTTCTTACTCTATGTTGTTGGTGTTGGAAAACTGATGGTATACAGTATAGAATCGCAGCAGTGATCGTATGTTAGAATGTTGTTGATCTGAGTGGTGAGGCAGAGTTTATAGATGATCTAAGTGAGGTTCTGTCTTAAAAATGGTTATTCATTAAGTTGCTGTTCTCAACAAGTAACGCTGGCTAGATAAGTTTTTACCGCATCACTCGTCGCTGCGATTACGTTTCTGTGTCTGATGGACAACCAATTGACGATTTTGCAGCATCCTGTATGGGACTCAAGGTATGCAAATTCATGTCTGAATTTGGATCCCAGAGACAGAACAGTGTTAGACTTAAGTTATTTCATCTAGGATTGAGATATTTCACCTGAATGGTGGGGTTCGAGGTGAGTTCGAGGTGTTGATTCTTTAAGATGACTTGGAGTTGCGTTTATAGCAAAGACAGATGTCTTAAAGTTTACTCTTGTGACAACAAATCTGTGATCAGTGGTATGGTCAAGAGTGCATGCATAAGGATCTAGAATCTTGTAGCATTGGCTTCGACTACTTTCGACACAGGATCTGATTTCGATCGAGAATTTGACCGGGTTCGTCTTTTTTCGAATTTCGCCCGGCACTCCAGTCCTTCCTCCAGCCAGTGTAGGTCGGTCGTATGTCGAGCAGGATGATTAAAACCCAGTTGTTGGAGGACAAGAGGTCAAATTTGATAACAAGTCTAACAAGTTTTCTCCATATCGTTGCGCAAAACCCATACATGTTTACCCATGAAACGACAAACAAAAGTCCTTTCTGAAGAGTCATTTTTCCCAACTTTGAATTAAATCTCCCAACAACAAATATCTCAACATTAGCAGGGGACGTTTAGTGCGTTCCTAACTTGGCCGTTAAAAATTAATCAACAGTTGTTGGTTCATTTTGCTGCAAGTTTCTTGGGTGGCCTCATACATGGACCCCCCCACCCTACATTTGATAAAATTTTCAGATTTTGTTGGGAGTTCTTGGTCCAAATTAGCTTACTCGATCATGATCTGTTCCAGCATACCACATTAGTCAATAAATGGGGGACTGATAACAAATCCGAGTCCATAGTGCGGCCATTTTTCTGCTCAAACAATAATAGTTTGTATACGTTTGCTAATGACTGCCATCTAGAATTCCGGTTTTAACCTTAGTCTCTGAATATAGCGCAGAATTCTATTGCCTGTACCGTAGACAATCGGTACCCAGTTGCTCCCGTTTGACTGGGATGTTCGTCTGGTCATCACAAGAACGAGGCCACGTATGTTAAAGTGGCGAAGCTGATGAGGAGTGTAGCAAACAGGGATCGTCCTGCAGCTGAGGTAAACATACGGATGGGGCGATTATGTTGTGTCTCTCCGCCGCTGGCGTTAACCAGTACGGTTCCCATCTTTATAATATAAATTGTAAATTATATTCGCAACATTTCCGCAGGATAACACGGGGTACGATATAAAGCAGCTGTTTATAGGCAGTGAAGGGACTCTGGGTGTCATAACAGACGTGTCACTCCTCCTGCCCCAGACTCCTGTTAGTGTTAACATGGCTCTCTTCGGGTGCGACTCCTTTGATGACGTCATCAAGTGTTACAGGTACCATTATCATCGGCTTGTTTTCTGAGACTTTTCCGTAAAACGGTGAACGGAATTAGTGCACCTTTTGGAAGTTTTTGATTAGTAAAAGGTCATTTTTTTCTGAACTTCTTTTATAAAATATGTGTCCACGTGTCCACGTGACCAATATGAACCTCAGATTATCAAGACAGTGTCTAGGGGAGATTGTATCAGCCTGTGAGTTTATGGACTCACTGTGTATGACATCTGTTAACAATATTCTTGGTTTAGCCAGCCCTCTTGAGGATAGCCACCCTTTCTACTACCTTGTGAGTTGTCTTGTGACCGTCGACGGTTGAACACTGTTTTTATTTGCTTACCTTAAGTTGTCAATTCGCGTAGAGCAGCAAGACAGCTATAATAGTAGTTTGATAGTTTCAGATAACGATAATCTTTAATTTCACCTCTTATCTCAACCCCAGGTGGAGACTTCAGGAATGAACCAGGAGCATGATATGGAGAAGTTGGAGACTTGTATAGAAAGGGTATTTGATGCAGGGTGTGCCACTGATGGTGTTATGGGTACGTTAAATTGCAGCGGTTATCTTAAATAACGACTCTTCTCTTCACTTCTTTTCGTTACTTTTCATTTTAATGGCTTGTCTTCAAAGATTAAGGGGACGGGGGGGGGGGGTCAAAAGCATCTGATAGATATCACTCCCCTCTATCAGAAACAACTAAAAAGTCGATTTTGAGAAAATTTCCCTGAGGACCCCCTGCCCCTTAAAGCCATAGACTCCAAGATGAATGGAGTTTCAAACCATTTTCGTTGGTTTAACGTCTGAACTTTCTATGATGATTTCAGCTGCAAGTAGGGACCAAGCCAAACATATGATGTCACTCCGAGAGAACATTGCCCCTGCTCTTAAAGCGGTGGGCTTCAACTACAAGTACGACGTGTCCCTCCCCATCAAGGATATGTATTCTCTTGTTGAACAGGTTTGACAGCATGGTTTTGTATGACGTCATGACACGTGGCCATCAAGGACATGTATTCTCTTGTTGAACAGGTTTGACGGTGTGTTTTTGTTCGTTTGTACTTTTTCTGACAACATACAATGTCTCCACTTAACATTGTTAAGTGGAGCCATTGTATTATGTTAATTTCATCAGCGATCTGCAGATTTTCCACGCGGTAGATTTATATATCTTTATTTGATGTTTAGGAGAAAAACGTTCACCAGTGTCAATAACTTAAAAGTAATGGGCATGTACATTGTACAGACTGCAAGATGTTTCATTGCAGGATGCACTACATGAAGAATTCGTTGTAACTATGTTTGAAAAGCATTAATAGGTAACTTAAAAATAATTTCCATCATAAAACAAATAAAATATTCTGTTTTCTCAACTAAACAATTAAAATATAATATAATACTAATCATTGTACACTACTGTATATATATATCCTTATATCTACACAAAATTACTGTACAAAACATGCGACTTAAAATGGGAAAAGTTAAAAGGTCAAAACAGAAGTACTGTGATGAAAAAGAATTGAAGTATAAACATACAAAACATCTGAAAATTTTAATAGCGTTTGACTTGAAGTTTTTTTTAATCTGTTAACCATTCCAACACTCTTCTTTTGATTCAGGCGGTAATTTTTAGACAGTAGACACTAAAAATTCGCATACGCGCTTTTCACAAGTGATGGGTCAATGGTCATGTCCTCACTGCTTTGTTCAGGTTCCCCCATATTTTGATAAATGATCTCTGTCTTTCCAACATTTATATTCACTTTTTCGTCTGTTGTTTCATCCTCAGATTCCAACTGACCAGCTTCTTTTTCCTTTCCATCTTCGTTGTCTCGCTCAACTTCATCTCGAACATTATCGTTCTTACACTCTTCATTTGTTTTACCATCGTTCTCCACTTCCTCACCACTGTACGTTGCTGTAGAATTCTCAAAATTCTCGTTGTAGCCCTCATTAACCTCTTTTCTATCAGACGCTGCATTTTCTTGCGTGTGGTTTACGTCATGATCCATTTTAGGTTGACTCGTTTTCTCTTTCCCTGTCATTTCTGGCATCCCTTCAGTGGTATCTTTGGTATCATCTGTTTCTGTTTTATCTCTGAAAACGTCATGATGTTTATTAGATTTAATAATATTACATACAATGTGAGTATGAATTCTGCGAGGGATCAAACTATCTATTACAACATTAAGCTAAAAAACCTGAAGTTTTATTCCTGCTCCAGCGACATTTTTGTAATTATTTGAAAGATGAAGGAGTTATTTTGATAAAAGATATGGAATGATAGTAAATATATCATCAGTCTACTGACTACAGTCTACTGACTACAGTCTACTGACTACAGTCTACTGACTACAGTCTACTGGCTACAGTCTACTGGCTACAGTCTACTGACTACAGTCTACTGACTACAGTCTACTGACTACAGTCTACTGGCTACAGTCTACTGACTACAGTCTACTGGCTACAGTCTACTGGCTACAGTCTACTGACTACAGTCTACTGACTACAGTCTACTGACTACAGTCTACTGACTACAGTCTACTGACTACAGTCTACTGACTACAGTCTACTGGCTACAGTCTACTGGCTACAGTCTACTGACTACAGTCTACTGACTACAGTCTACTGGCTACAGTCTACTGACTACAGTCTACTGACTACAGTCTACTGACTACAGTCTACTGACTACAGTCTACTGACTACAGTCTACTGACTACAGTCTACTGACTACAGTCTACTGACTACAGTCTACTGACTACAGTCTACTGACTACAGTCTACTGACTACAGTCTACTGGCTACAGTCTACTGACTACAGTCTACTGACTACAGTCTACTGACTACAGTCTACTGACTACAGTCTACTGACTACAGTCTACTGACTACAGTCTACTGACTACAGTCTACTGACTACAGTCTACTGACTACAGTCTACTGACTACAGTCTACTGACTACAGTCTACTGACTACAGTCTACTGACTACAGTCTACTGACTACAGTCTACTGACTACAGTCTACTGACTACAGTCTACTGACTACAGTCTACTGGCTACAGTCTACTGGCTACAGTCTACTGACTACAGTCTACTGACTACAGTCTACTGACTACAGTCTACTGACTACAGTCTACTGACTACAGTCTACTGACTACAGTCTACTGACTACAGTCTACTGACTACAGTCTACTGACTACAGTCTACTGGCTACAGTCTACTGGCTACAGTCTACTGACTACAGTCTACTGACTACAGTCTACTGGCTACAGTCTACTGGCTACAGTCTACTGGCTACAGTCTACTGGCTACAGTCTACTGACTACAGTCTACTGACTACAGTCTACTGACTACAGTCTACTGACTACAGTCTACTGACTACAGTCTACTGACTACAGTCTACTGACTACAGTCTACTGACTACAGTCTACTGACTACAGTCTACTGGCTACAGTCTACTGACTACAGTCTACTGACTACAGTCTACTGACTACAGTCTACTGACTACAGTCTACTGACTACAGTCTACTGGCTACAGTCTACTGGCTACAGTCTACTGGCTACAGTCTACTGGCTACAGTCTACTGGCTACAGTCTACTGGCTACAGTCTACTGGCTACAGTCTACTGGCTACAGTCTACTGGCTACAGTCTACTGGCTACAGTCTACTGGCTACAGTCTACTGGCTACAGTCTACTGGCTACAGTCTACTGGCTACAGTCTACTGACTACAGTCTACTGACTACAGTCTACTGGCTACAGTCTACTGGCTACAGTCTACTGGCTACAGTCTACTGGCTACAGTCTACTGGCTACAGTCTACTGACTACAGTCTACTGGCTACAGTCTACTGACTGAGTAGGTATTAACTTGGGCAAGCTGTGATAATTGGAATGTTGTGGTGAGGAGTTTGCAGATGAGTGATGTTCTGATTCTTGATTATGACAATTATCAAACCCTCCTTGTAGTAGAGCTCTACCTGGCATCGGTACTGCACTTTTGTGATTAAAATACTCGAACTTGAGTGAGCTAGAGAGATAGGAATTGTTAAGTGTATGATAGTGATTCATGTTTTTATGATCCTTGATAATGTAAATAGTTTACCATCACTACTGCTAATGAACAGTTATCAAAACGGAATCAATAGAAATTTATCCAAGAAAACATTTCAACTATGCGACTCATAAATAACATTCCAATCCGGATTTTACATGAACAGTTATTTACCTTAAACAGGGTCCTGCAGCTTTTTCTATGGCGTTGTATACATTCTCCAAAGCACTGACTCGCCTCTGTCTATTTCCCTCTTCAGATTTGATTTTACGCTTTGGTTCAGGTTCTACTTTTGACACGCCAAATGTTGTATTTTCGGTCGTACTTTCCTGCAAATAAGAAATAAATCAGTAACGCGGGTCGTCAAGTTTGGTATTTTCTTTAAGGTAAAAAGTGCAGAATAGAACTAGAATCTTTAGTTACTATATTATATCATATCAGCGAACACGTGAACAAATATAGAATTCATTACAGTTCCTGACCTGTCCATGTCTTTTGTTCTTCTCTTTGAAGAACCTCCTTAATCCAACTAAGTCAATGGTATGTTCTCTGATGTCGTCCTGGAGACATATCATACTGGCAAAGAAGAGGGGACCCTAGGGGGAGGTCTATTAGTTAGTGCTTTTCATGCAACAAGTAATGTTATTCCTACTGCTAAGAGAAATGAGATTTTTCATTTCGCTTCTCTCGTGTTTGATCGAAGCTAAGATACGAGTTTTCGTAGGCTGAACCAATTGAAATGTATTTTCTATTCATTCTTACCTGGAGGCCTACTATAATGATGAACAGGTATTGGGCAGCAGTTGTAAATGGATCAAAAGTGAAAGCTGCAATGACCCATGGAAGCCCGACACTGGCACTGACGGCCATCATGCCCTTGAAGATTTTCTGAAGAAATTTAAGATTTAGAACCATATTTTCAGCGGTCTATCATGCATCAAAATCTTTGTTAGCATGTGGGCACTTAAGACTTTAGGAGAAATCCTTAATCCACCGATATGCAATTCAGGAATAAGAGCGGCAATTTTAATTCTCAAGTTCTCAGCAATCTAAAAACTCCTGATCCTCACCGTGAGTTGGTGGGTCTCACTATTGGGTGTCTTAGCTGCATGAACAATGACACGTGACACAAGGATGAAACAGAAGATATTGAAAAGGAGGATGAGCCATGTTGGGACCATGAAAGAGGGGTATTTCCAGGGCGATTCTACCCAACAGTTTTCCCCTTGTGTGAAATTTCCTCCTGGATAATGAGATTGTCAGATTTGTATTTCTAATTTCTCAATATTACACGTGGAATTTTCTTGGTCATCGATAAGCTATCTGAGATGCTGGTTTCGTCAAAAATGTTCGAGAGAGAAGAATAAAGCCCCCAATAAATAAAAAGGTCAAAATTATACCATATGGAGGTCAGCCGGCTGCAATAGCAGTTTAGTCGTTGCTATGGTATTGTTTATGTTGCACGTGCAATTTAATTTTACATGAATAGTATCTACTACTTTTTGTAGCATTTTTGTTTCATCGGTCTAATTGAAAAGTCCTTTATTTTTGCCGAATATGTGCGATTTTTTTTAGAGATCCTACAAACTTTAATGAAGGAGTAATGTTAATTTGATCACACAGAGAATGTTAAAGCCTGTCATAATGTTCAGAACTCACTGATTTGTATATGGTAACGAGTTTTTTGAAAAGATTGTTTAAACCTATGTACGGTGAATTATATTCATCCTTCCTGTCGTTGGAGATCCAAGCGGCCAGATAGATCGCTAGAGGGCACAGCGCAGAACCGCCCCAGCACAGGATCGATCGATTTCTCACAAAGTGCTTCTCACTTTTACCGTGGTTTTTCACTGCGGCTGCTATCTGCGGTGCGATAACATTATAGTATGGACTTCATCTTCTGAATGCCAATGCGTAATATTTTACAGGAAAAAATCAACACGGAAAATTTTTCCTCAAAAAAATGCTGCTGTAAACAGTAATTATTCGATTAATAATCGTTACAATCATGACATAGATCTATTTCAGAGCCATCATAGTAGTTTTAAAATATCGATTCTTCTTATCAAGAAAGAGACCAACCTTTCCATAGAGTGACCAAGCGCTGGCGCTCATCCAAAACATAGCTGACAAGAAGAAATATTGAACCAGTAAAACTCCCGTCACGCAGCCTCGATTCAGAGATGCAACTGGGTACTGAAAATATCTCCTTTAAAATTCAAAATATTTGAGATTTTACTCATTAAATGAGAAATGTTTTTAGTTGTCAAATGGTTCAAATGCTGATTTTTAATTCTTACATTTCTATAGTCCACATTCACTTTCGTTGTGAGGGAAAGAATGTTGAAGCCCACATTTCCAAGTATTAAAGCAAATATGATGTTGAGTTGAGCCATCGTCAGCATCTTCTTGCGAAGTTTCCTGTGCATAAAAGTGAATTACTCGTGTAAATTCATAAATTCATAAAGATGTTTAATTCCACCAAACTATAAATTTCAAATCGCTAACTTAAAAATAAAATTGTTTGTTTGGGGACTTAAATAAAACTAAAATCAGCTGCCCTTACTTGAAGTCACCATTAGTAACCACTAGTAACCATTAGTAACCACTAGTAACCATTAGTAACCACTAGTAACCATTAGTAACCACTAGTAACCATTAGTAACCACTAGTAACCATTAGTAACCACTAGTAACCATTAGTAACCACTAGTAACCATTAGTAACCACTAGTAACCATTAGTAACCACTAGTAACCATTAGTAACCACTAGTAACCATTAGTAACCACTAGTAACCATTAGTAACCACTAGTAACCATTAGTAACCACTAGTAACCATTAGTAACCACTAGTAACCATTAGTAACCATTAGTAACCACTAGTAACCATTAGTAACCACTAGTAACCATTAGTAACCATTAGTAACCATTAGTAACCACTAGTAACCATTAGTAACCACTAGTAACCACTAGTAACTTACTTGAAGGGAGCGACTAGTCCGAAGGTCAATGAGAGGAATATCAGGTTGACAGCGAACATGAAGTATCCCAAACTCTCTTGTACTTTTACTTGTTTCTCATCTATTTCCTCAATACTCTGAAAGATTCTTGTTTGCTTATTAATGAATAGATTTTTGAAGAATGTTTGGATCGAATGAGCTGTGAGATAAACTTCGCTGATCTCTCTAGACCGACAAACGGTATTACCGGTACTAGTAAAGTAGTAACATTGTAATTTGTAACAAACCCTGTTAAAATAATGGAGCCCTGTCGGTGTTATTAAGGTAAAAGGGAGGAAGTCCATCTTCAGTAATAACTCGGTATTGACTGTTATTAAAGTAGCGTAATTGCCGGTTAATGAAGTAGCGATGCCGTTAATCACGATTTTTTGACAGTTCTATATTGCTTTAGACCATTGCCAAGGAATTAAGATGTGTCGATTCAATGATGAGTAACCAAACAAAGCACTTTTAGTATTAAGATAGCAAATTACGCGACAATCGTTACAATGACCATCATTACCATGACAACGCAATTATTGCACGTGCATCACACGAATAGCGAATACAGGTTGTTGAATCAGCAAAAGCGGCTTTTACAGGCAATGCTGGTTTCTAGTTTCTCTAGAAACTAAGAGAAACATCATTAAATGTGAATTTATATTCTATTCCTATAATGTTGCAAATAAAAATAATTCAAGTAGCTCTCTAACGAGGATAATAGCGAAACTGGTAGCATGATCTGAGACACAAGTGTGGGTTTTATCGTTGTTGTTCACCGTTCTCACTCCACGTGTCTCCCAATGTCCCGTATCTGGATCCAAGTACATACAAGTTCTGTTCTTCCTGAGAAAGTCAACGTTCAACAAAACAAACATTGTGCAAGTTACGTTGAACTCGGGATATGTCGAGTTCAAAGACGTAGTTTAGTAACCAGCCACATTTGACATCCCCTGGTGTGGAAATATCAGGCGCGAGCGATATATCGAGTGAATGTTCAATGGGGGTTTGCGGTAAATCGGAGGACACTAAAATTTAAATGAGGGTTAAACTCTACAAAACTAGAGCCTTGCTACCACTACTTTACTATTGTTTTGCTACCTGTCGTTGGACTGAAATATGAGCGAGAAATTTCGGCCCCCAGAGTCCTGCTTAACAAACTGAAAGAAATTCAGTCATCATTTGTTTTGAGAAATCATCAAATTTCCGCTCTCAGAGTCCTGCTTAACAAACTGAAAGAAATTCAGTCATCATTTGTTTTGAGAAATCATTAAATTTCGGCTCTCAGAGTCCTGCTTAACAAACTGAAAGAAATTCAGTCATCATTTGTTTTGAGAAATCATCAAATTTCCGCTCTCAGAGTCCTGCTTAACAAACTGAAAGAAATTCAGGCATCATTTGTTTTGAGAAATCATTAAATTTCGGCTCTCAGAGTCCTGCTTAACAAACTGAAAGAAATTCAGTCATCATTTGTTTTGAGAAATCATCAAATTTCGGCTCTCAGAGTCCTGCTTAACAAACTGAAAGAAATTCAGTCATCATTTGTTTTGAGAAATCATTAAATTTCCGCTCTCAGAGTCCTGCTTAACAAACTGAAAGAAATTCAGTCATCATTTGTTTTGAGAAATCATCAAATTTCGGCTCTCAGAGTCCTGCTTAACAAACTGAAAGAAATTCAGTCATCATTTGTTTTGAGAAATCATTAAATTTCGGCTCTCAGAGTCCTGCTTAACAAACTGAAAGAAATTCAGTCATCATTTGTTTTGAGAAATCATTAAATTTCGGCTCTCAGAGTCCTGCTTAACAAACTGAAAGAAATTCAGTCATCATTTGTTTTGAGAAATCATTAAATTTCGGCTCTCAGAGTCCTGCTTAACAAACTGAAAGAAATTCAGTCATCATTCGTTTTGAGAAATCATTAAATTTCGGCTCTCAGAGTCCTGCTTAACAAACTGAAAGAAATTCAGTCATCATTTGTTTTGAGAAATCATCAAATTTCGGCTCTCAGAGTCCTGCTTAACAAACTGAAAGAAATTCAGTCATCATTTGTTTTGAGAAATCATCAAATTTCCGCTCTCAGAGTCCTGCTTAACAAACTGAAAGAAATTCAGTCATCATTTGTTTTGAGAAATCATTAAATTTCGGCTCTCAGAGTCCTGCTTAACAAACTGAAAGAAATTCAGTCATCATTCGTTTTGAGAAATCATCAAATTTCCGCTCTCAGAGTCCTGCTTAACAAACTGAAAGAAATTCAGTCATCATTTGTTTTGAGAAATCATTAAATTTCGGCTCTCAGAGTCCTGCTTAACAAACTGAAAGAAATTCAGTCATCATTTGTTTTGAGAAATCATTAAATTTCCGCTCTCAGAGTCCTGCTTAACAAACTGAAAGAAATTCAGTCATCATTTGTTTTGAGAAATCATCAAATTTCCGCTCTCAGAGTCCTGCTTAACAAACTGAAAGAAATTCAGTCATCATTTGTTTTGAGAAATCATTAAATTTCGGCTCTCAGAGTCCTGCTTAACAAACTGAAAGAAATTCAGTCATCATTTGTTTTGAGAAATCATTAAATTTCCGCTCTCAGAGTCCTGCTTAACAAACTGAAAGAAATTCAGTCATCATTTGTTTTGAGAAATCATTAAATTTCGGCTCTCAGAGTCCTGCTTAACAAACTGAAAGAAATTCAGTCATCATTTGTTTTGAGAAATCATTAAATTTCGGCTCTCAGAGTCCTGCTTAACAAACTGAAAGAAATTCAGTCATCATTTGTTTTGAGAAATCATTAAATTTCGGCTCTCAGAGTCCTGCTTAACAAACTGAAAGAAATTCAGTCATCATTTGTTTTGAGAAATCATCAAATTTCGGCTCTCAGAGTCCTGCTTAACAAACTGAAAGAAATTCAGTCATCATTTGTTTTGAGAAATCATTAAATTTCGGCTCTCAGAGTCCTGCTTAACAAACTGAAAGAAATTCAGTCATCATTTGTTTTGAGAAATCATTAAATTTCGGCTCTCAGAGTCCTGCTTAACAAACTGAAAGAAATTCAGTCATCATTTGTTTTGAGAAATCATTAAATTTCGGCTCTCAGAGTCCTGCTTAACAAACTGAAAGAAATTCAGTCATCATTTGTTTTGAGAAATCATTAAATTTCGGCTCTCAGAGTCCTGCTTAACAAACTGAAAGAAATTCAGTCATCATTTGTTTTGAGAAATCATTAAATTTCGGCTCTCAGAGTCCTGCTTAACAAACTGAAAGAAATTCAGTCATCATTTGTTTTGAGAAATCATTAAATTTCCGCTCTCAGAGTCCTGCTTAACAAACTGAAAGAAATTCAGTCATCATTCGTTTTAAGAAATCATTAAATTTCGGCTCTCAGAGTCCTGCTTAACAAACTGAAAGAAATTCAGTCATCATTTGTTTTGAGAAATCATTAAATTTCGGCTCTCAGAGTCCTGCTTAACAAACTGAAAGAAATTCAGTCATCATTTGTTTTGAGAAATCATTAAATTTCGGCTCTCAGAGTCCTGCTTAACAAACTGAAAGAAATTCAGTCATCATTTGTTTTGAGAAATCATCAAATTTCGGCTCTCAGAGTCCTGCTTAACAAACTGAAAGAAATTCAGTCATCATTTGTTTTGAGAAATCATCAAATTTCCGCTCTCAGAGTCCTGCTTAACAAACTGAAAGAAATTCAGTCATCATTTGTTTTGAGAAATCATTAAATTTCGGCTCTCAGAGTCCTGCTTAACAAACTGAAAGAAATTCAGTCATCATTTGTTTTGAGAAATCATTAAATTTCCGCTCTCAGAGTCCTGCTTAACAAACTGAAAGAAATTCAGTCATCATTTGTTTTGAGAAATCATTAAATTTCGGCTCTCAGAGTCCTGCTTAACAAACTGAAAGAAATTCAGTCATCATTTGTTTTGAGAAATCATTAAATTTCGGCTCTCAGAGTCCTGCTTAACAAACTGAAAGAAATTCAGTCATCATTCGTTTTGAGAAATCATTAAATTTCGGCTCTCAGAGTCCTGCTTAACAAACTGAAAGAAATTCAGTCATCATTTGTTTTGAGAAATCATTAAATTTCGGCTCTCAGAGTCCTGCTTAACAAACTGAAAGAAATTCAGTCATCATTTGTTTTGAGAAATCATTAAATTTCGGCTCTCAGAGTCCTGCTTAACAAACTGAAAGAAATTCAGTCATCATTTGTTTTGAGAAATCATCAAATTTCCGCTCTCAGAGTCCTGCTTAACAAACTGAAAGAAATTCAGTCATCATTTGTTTTGAGAAATCATCAAATTTCCGCTCTCAGAGTCCTGCTTAACAAACTGAAAGAAATTCAGTCATCATTTGTTTTGAGAAATCATCAAATTTCCGCTCTCAGAGTCCTGCTTAACAAACTGAAAGAAATTCAGTCATCATTTGTTTTGAGAAATCATCAAATTTCCGCTCTCAGAGTCCTGCTTAACAAACTGAAAGAAATTCAGTCATCATTTGTTTTGAGAAATCATCAAATTTCCGCTCTCAGAGTCCTGCTTAACAAACTGAAAGAAATTCAGTCATCATTTGTTTTGAGAAATCATCAAATTTCGGCTCTCAGAGTCCTGCTTAACAAACTGAAAGAAATTCAGTCATCATTTGTTTTGAGAAATCATCAAATTTCCGCTCTCAGAGTCCTGCTTAACAAACTGAAAGAAATTCAGTCATCATTTGTTTTGAGAAATCATTAAATTTCGGCTCTCAGAGTCCTGCTTAACAAACTGAAAGAAATTCAGTCATCATTTGTTTTGAGAAATCATTAAATTTCCGCTCTCAGAGTCCTGCTTAACAAACTGAAAGAAATTCAGTCATCATTTGTTTTGAGAAATCATTAAATTTCGGCTCTCAGAGTCCTGCTTAACAAACTGAAAGAAATTCAGTCATCATTTGTTTTGAGAAATCATTAAATTTCGGCTCTCAGAGTCCTGCTTAACAAACTGAAAGAAATTCAGTCATCATTTGTTTTGAGAAATCATTAAATTTCGGCTCTCAGAGTCCTGCTTAACAAACTGAAAGAAATTCAGTCATCATTTGTTTTGAGAAATCATTAAATTTCGGCTCTCAGAGTCCTGCTTAACAAACTGAAAGAAATTCAGTCATCATTTGTTTTGAGAAATCATTAAATTTCGGCTCTCAGAGTCCTGCTTAACAAACTGAAAGAAATTCAGTCATCATTCGTTTTGAGAAATCATTAAATTTCGGCTCTCAGAGTCCTGCTTAACAAACTGAAAGAAATTCAGTCATCATTTGTTTTGAGAAATCATCAAATTTCGGCTCTCAGAGTCCTGCTTAACAAACTGAAAGAAATTCAGTCATCATTTGTTTTGAGAAATCATCAAATTTCCGCTCTCAGAGTCCTGCTTAACAAACTGAAAGAAATTCAGTCATCATTTGTTTTGAGAAATCATCAAATTTCCGCTCTCAGA